TTGAACGGTCATTAGTTAATATTTGAGAAACAAACATTGACCCTCTGTGATCCTGTCAATTTTTGATAGTTGGAGGAAACGATCAACCGCTCTATTTGGTCCACTATTCACAAATGTGAATCGTCCCTCATAACACTTCCCCCGGTGAAATGGATCTCTGCATGCCTCGAGCAATACACGATTGTCTTTTGGATTGTGGTCGCATTTGTCACCGGTTTTCAACATCCGACAGCGTTGTGTTTGACTTTCTGTAATGGGATTCTGCAGTTTCTTCCGTTGGTTTACATCGTTTGTTGTTCACTTCCTCGTCCCACATTGCGATTCAATGTACACGACCGACTTCGTAGATCCATTGTATTTTGTACGCGGGATGGCGTCTATCAACCATGCCGTATAGTCCTTTCCATCTCGGAATTAGCTTATCCGAGCCAGGGCCGCTGGCGACTCCCCCAACATGCCGCTTATAATTTACTTTAGATCCAACCGCTGGCCTTCCGTCTAGTTTGTATCTTAGACTTCAGCCTTGTATCTTTCGGAACCCTCTCCATTGTTCCCTCCTGCACATTCGTCAAATATTCCCGGATTTCACATTTTGTCTGTTGACGTTATTGAGGAAGTGGACCGTGTCGCAGCGGAAGACCAGCGTTGAGATCCATCGGCAGCTTTGGATTTCTTCCATACGTCACTTGAAATGGTGTATGTTTGGTACTGGCTCACACGGACCAACGGTAAGTCAAAGAGTGAAGGCTGGATAATTGAGATTTGTGCGTACCTTTTGATGCCTAAATTCCGTAAGCACGTGTAAAATTAATCAATCTCAAATCACGGACCTTGACCCGTAAGGATGGCTTGCGGCACACCATGATTCGCCACGAAATGCTCCATCACAACTCTGCTTATCAGAGCGGCTTTTTTATCCGCGACTCCTACAGCTTCGACCCAGCGCGCAAAGTGCTCCGTCATTATAACAACGTATTGATGTCCCCTGGGAGACATCGGAAATGGACCCATGAGGTCGATGGATCATACCTCACCGATCTCAGATACTGGCATTGATTGAGTTGGACATTGTGATGGGCGGGAGTTTGACTTGAAAAATCAGCATTTTTGGTGCATGCCAGCAACTGATTTTTAACATCAGTCTGCATATTTGGAAAATACGCCCGCTGTGGAAGAAGATCGAAGGTTCGCGCGCAGCCGGTTTTTGCCGGTTCACGACTTTCTTTAATAAGGATTTGGTGCAGCGTTTTGGGAATGAACATTACACGGCATCTTCTTCCTGGTTGTCGGTTCATCAAAAAAATTAACAGAAACATTCAAATAGAGCTGCTTCCATAGGGATTTCTATGACTTCATGTGTGTGCACTTTCGGTAATGCTCGCTTCGATCACTTGAAATGCTGAAGAATCAGTGAGGCCAAGGTTTTGCTGCGTCAACTAATGAAGGACTGTACCTCCCTCGCTCACTTTCGAAGGATATTGAACTAAATGTGTCAGTGTAATGTTCTATTTCTACTGAACAAGGGGCGATGTTCGTATTTCTTCGGAAATATACTGCCACACGCCTCTAGTGAGAAGGACCTGAGCTTCATCATTGAAGAAAACTTGATCTGCTCACTTAACTGCGCCAAGGTGTAGAACGCAGCTGTAAAGAATTTTGCCTTGCTTAAGCGAGTCTTTGACCAGTTGGGGTCAGCTCTTTTCGCCCCTCTACCATCAGCGTATATTTGTTCACTAACAGAGTACGCTATCCAGGTATGGAAGCCTTGGCTACCATGCCGCTGCGGAATGCTGGGGAGTCCACAAATGATGACCACCAAATTGGTTAGGGGCTTATATCGTTATTCATACGCCGAGAGACCGCAGTTGGTGGGGTTATATTCGAATCACTACCGGCACGTCAGAGGAGACATGATTATATTATACCAAATAAAGCAAACCTCAAGCCATCCGTGTCACCCATGCTACAATTATCGCCCAACGTTCATCTTATAGGACATCCACTCATACTAGTATTCAAAATGAAGATTGGAATGCCGGGGTCAGTCATTCACAGTCAGTGTTTTAGATCTAGAACTCTCTCCCACCCCACGTAGTCTGTGTGCCAAGCATTGACTCTTTTAAACTGAGACTTGATGAAGCATTGGCACACCTTATATTCCAACATAAGTCAAGCCGCGTGCAGTAGTAAGAAAACCCGTATCCTGTGACATTTTACACAAGGAACTGTGTGCATGTGGTAATCAGAATAGTACTGAATGTAAGAATACGAGAACCCGTAATCTACTGCTCATAACTGAATTGGCTCCAACCCGAACTGCGGACACCAATCAAATACACGGGGAATTGATAGCAGCAAATGCTTATGTTTATTGATGGAATTAGATCATGTTTTATAGAATGTAATAGTTCATGTGACTGGTTGAACGAGCGTCCTCCAACCACGTAATCGTTTGCACCGACGCATCATATGTATGAACTCGGATTTCATGTGCGCCCGGTGTACCATTGGTCGAGCTTCCTGAACGGTGATTGGATGACATAAAACTACCTGGTCGTGCATGGATTGCGGTCACGGAAGTCTGAATCACCACAATGCATCACTGTCTTTTAACTACAGCACGAATATATGGGACGAGAAAAGCATGAGCTTATAAGTTATTCCCCTGATAAATTTTTGATCTTTGACCTTTCGGAGTTGTTGTTCCTTGCGCTGTTCTGTCACCGATTCATGCGGATCTTGTCCCACTGATAGCATACTGACACTGTAGACATGTGTTTCCCCCTAACGACACAAAATATCTGCCACACAGTTTTCGGCACCTGCATGATTGATCTTAAAGTTGTACTTCTGCAGCTGAAGGGCTCATCGGGCTAGTTTTCCTGTTGAATCTTTGGCTGTTTTAATCCATTCTAGTTGCTTGTGGTTCGCTTCTATATGAGACCTTTGACCCATAAGATATGGTCGCCATTTAGCCGCTGTCCAAAAAATTGCAATACAAATTTTTTTCGGTGGTGGAACATCTCCTTTCCGTTGGGCTAATGACCCTGCTTGCGTATCCAACCACTCCACTAGCTTGTTTGAGTACGGCTTCCACTCCAATGTGACTGGCATCCGTTACAACTGTGGAGGGTACCTAAGTGTACCTAAGTGTGGGAAAAGGAACAGGTTCCAACTGAATTGTGTGAATCGATGATCATACCGATTAACAAGAAGGGCGACCGGTCCTCTTGTGAAAAACACAGAGGAATTAGTTTAATTA